ACGAAAGAAAATAAATAAAAAAACAGGTATGAACACAATATGAACATAATAAAAATAACTGCTATACGAAAGAAAATAAATAAAAAAACATGTATGAACATAATATGAACAGCTTTTGAACAATAGTTCATTAATTATAAACGCATTCAGGAGCGATCMTTTGTCAATTGGAGTTTTATACATGCATTGCATCCACACCGTTTAAGGTCCGCCCCTTGTTCATATATGTTTCTGGTCTTATGTGGTTGTTCAACCCTTGTTCATATCGTGTTCACCCCTTGTTCATATCATGTTCACCCCTTGTTCATATCGTGTTCACCCCTTGTTCATATCGTATAAAATATATGAACACATAACCCCGACGCTATGAACATTGGGTGCAAACACTTACACAAATATATAGATTTGATATCAAGCTTAAAAAATAACACTTGTGTTCATATGATATAAGAATCATGAACCCAATGGTTCATGATTCACAAAAGTCGGTAATATGACAATATGAAAATGAGTCKTGCATGTACTTCCATTTGAACATGTGAATTAGGTAGGTATTAATAGTTAAAAAAAGTTATCAATGCAATATGAACTACAAAAAACATAACACATCATAATAAACATAATTTCGATTAAAACGAGTCTAATAAAATATTAATTCATTACCAAGACATTCACTTTGGTTAATTTCTTCACTTCCCGAACTTGAAATCCGATTGTCACCATAAACCATTTTAATCTTCTCAATGTTTTCGATTTTTTTTCTAATTCGTTTATCCATAATAGCTTGAACGATACCGAAGATTTTACTACCGTGTTTTCTCCACGAATCAAAAACTCATTAAACAATAAAAATGGAAGATCAAGATTAAAAAATAAATAAAAATATCAATATTATAAATGTATATTTTTAGGGATTTTATGATTTTGTAACTCCCCTTTAATGGTATGGGAGTTACATAGGAAATGAAATTACTCAATTACCCTTGGCATTAAATTGTGAACATGATAGAAACCTAATAGAAGAATGGATTGTGATTGGTTGATATGGTTTGCAAAGTTAATACAAAAACTTTGGTTAACATTTGATCTTGTCCCTATATATATATATATATGTTTTTTAGGTATATAATATTTATGTACCACACATGCTTAATTACTGTTCTCACATTTGGTGATGATTAAACCATTGACTTCTTGGGAGGCTGGACTCTATAGTATCCTGATGCCATTGGTCCAATGACCATTTGATATATATAGGATAGGTTCATGTGAAAACCACAAAAAAATTGAGAACCAGAGAACCTGAATGTTGATTGATGCATAAATATGCTATCCAAATATGTATTTTGTCAATGAGTATATTCATCAATGAAATACATCAATGAACGTACAAGTTCTCCAGTTCTCAAAATTTTGTGATTATCACATGAATCGCCCTTAATTTATAGAGAAAATTGCATCAAAATGTAATACAACTTTAGACCTATTTCTATTTTGGGGAATCAACTTTCAAAATCTTCATTTTAAAGCTTAGAATAAACTTTTTGTTAATTTAAAGGTTTATTTGATATGATGACCTACTAATGATGATGTGGCTCATATTAATGACAACTAATATATCATGTCATATTGTAAAATTTCACTGTCATATTATAAAATTATAAATATCAAAAAATAATAAAAAATGTCAAATAATTAAAGTTAATAATGTACCAATATTTGTTATATATAAGAAAATCTAAAAAAGCACAAACAAAACTGAGGGGCCGTTTATCAAACACTTACCTGACAAGTGTTTATTGGTAAAATTCAACATTATTATTTGCTTCTTGGGTAAGATTTTAGTCCACAAAAACGACATGGTATGCAACAATTTACCCGGTAAGCGTTTACCGTGGTAAGAGTCGTCTCCCTCACTTACCGTGTAAGACTTTTGGTCCTTGTCTCGCTCTTACCGGATAAGATTCTTGGTCCTTACCATATTCATCCGGTGAGGTAGTGTTACTTGGTAAGCGCTTACCCATATAAGAGTTTGGTAAACGTCCCCTGAGTAAATACTTGAAAAAACATAAACCAACTCAAATCTCCACCCTAAATTAAAAAAAAAAAAACAAAAAATAGTAATGTAGTGACATTTGGGTCAACTCGAAAGAAAAATGATTAGGAGGTCAATTTGAAAGAGGGAAATTGATCATTTAATTTCTCTTTTATAAATGACGTGCACATTTTTGTAAGTTTATTTATTTATTTTAAAATTTTCATCTATTTTTAAAAGAAATACGAAATATTGATATATCGGAATCTTTTAAGAGACTTGGGGTCATTTACTAAACATTTACCCAGCAAGTGGTTATTCGGTGTCAAAGACCTTCCAGCCTAGTGGTAAAGGCTTGGGCATGGCATAGTCATGAACCCGAGTTCGAGCCCTGGGAGGGGAGTGTTGGCGACATTTAAGTGAGGCCATGTTTAGCCTCCAAATTTGCCGGGGATTAGTCGGGCTTTGGCACGGACACCCTTACAAAAAAAAGTAGTTATTCGGTTATTTTTCCTTATCGAATGAACATGACAAAAATTGAGAATCTTACCGGTTAGAACGATGAAAAAGACCAAAAGTCTTATCCTGTAAGTGAGATTAGACGACTTTTACATGACAAGTGCTTGCTGAATAAATTGTCACATACAATGCCGTTTTAATAGACTAAAATCCTACTCAATAAGTTAAGTGAAATTGTTGAATTTTATGGGTAAGCGTTGGGTAAACTACCCCTTGCATTTACAACATAAAGGGTTATATACAATGCAAGATTCAATAGTCATTTCTATCATTTAGACTGATTATTCAGCATAACAGACAATAATTTAGGTTTATCCATACAAACGACTAAATCCTCACAGACAGTTTTATCTATATGACACTAGATGAAAAGAGTTGGGTTCCGGTGAGATCGAGAATTAATGCGAGAAACATAAGAAGAAATCTCCACCATTTGATGCACATTAGGATAAGATGCACCAAATTAGTTCCCGTATCAAAAGTCTAGATGTCTTTTTACGCTTCTTGCTTTAACTTTTATTCTCACACGATCTCGCCCAATGAAAACCAATCAAACAACATACATGCATCTATCCATTATGACAATTGGTGGGTATAAATTGCAATAATGTATTTTTGGGGGTATAAATTGCAATAATGTATTTTTGGGGGTATATATTGGCATTTGGCATAGTACAGGGTTATCTCTGCCATAAAAAGTGTTAAAAACCTATTTTCTGGTTTTCCGAACAGAGGTTTATTGTTCGTTGTTCTCTAAACCCTAGTTTCACGGCCATCCAAGAAATTGCTGATCATTGCGTGGTGAAATTGATAAAAGCAAAGGATCTCAGGTTTACAAATGACGGATCCTTCGTTTCTTTTCGGGGGCATCACATTCAACCGGAAGAAGTTCTCCAGAGATTTTGCTAGGTTTAAGGTAAAATATTCATAAGTTTCTAGAGTTTTATCTTAAAGAAAACATCAAAGATTTTCGATGTCGAATTCAAGTTTCTGCAAGTTTTATCGTTAAAATATTAATACAAGTTTCTGTTAGTTTGATTAGTTGAATTGCTTATGTTCTAGTTTCCGTTAGTTTGAGAAGTTGAATGCTACTGATTGTTGATTGTGTCTGATGTGATTACTGCGTGGATGAATGTTAGGGCTTTTAGGCGATGCCTAATGTTTTGGAGTTGAGTTTCGTACAAGTTTGCAGATAATAGGTTGAAAATTAATAAATTATAAGAATGGTGTTATCAGATGTAAATAAGTTTTTGGTTTTTGAGAAATGCAATAGACTGAATTGCAACTATAGCATTGGTCCAATAAGTGTTCAACTCACCCAAATCACTGGATGTCCGGACAAGTATCAGATTGTTTCTCCAACTTTATAGAACCCAAAGAGGTGAATGAACTTATACATTGTAATCTATAACTTGATAGGGTGGCTTATAAACGACCATCAGTTTTCCAAACTATTTGAGTAAGTTTCTTGTTTCTCCATCTTGTTTTTGTGGATAGGACGGGGATTTCTTAGCGTTTAGAATTTCCTTCTGGCAAAAAGGGATGGAGTCAACCAACTGTGGTAGTTAACGAGTTCCATGTAGGGGATTGATGAGTGTGTAAAAGGGTACTTCTCTTTATGATAAAGTTGGTATATTCTATACCGGATCACCGGTTAGTGTAAAATAACTTGATGCTTTCAAGTTACCATTTAGAAGTACCTATGAATACTTGACACATGCAAATTTATGGAAGCGGACTAGGATCTCGAATTGTTATAGCAGTATGTACGTACCTGATTGTTGTTACATTATGTTCTTGTTTAGGAAAAAATGCCAAGTAATGATTTCGAAGAGACGTTGCTTGAAAACAAAGACCCGGAGGTGGAGGTGGTAGCAAAGGCGGTTAAAAAGAGGAAGAGGAAGGCAGCCATTTCAGGTAATTCTGGGATATAAGTTTAGGTATTTTTACCAGTTTCATTGGAGGCATTTAGAGATTTATTATTGTTTTATTTCGATTGCTTGCATTGGTTTAAGACCCTGTGGAAGGATTTAGTGTTTTCAAGAGCTCAAAGACGGAGCCAGTGCTTGAAGAGAATGAAGAGACTGAAAATGCATCTCAAGGGAAGAAGGAACTATATAGACAAATGGAGGTACTCTCTCTCTCCCTCGCTAGCAAACAGATGCATGTCTTTTGTGCACTTCTAGTTACATTTGATCATGTTTAATCTTGTAGAGTGTGAGATAATGATATAAACATCTGATAGGAACGACATGTCTTTTTAACCTTTTTGAGTTCAGAGGGATGCGATTTTCCGTAAGAAGCATAACATTCATACATCTGGAAGTGATATCCCCTCTCCTCTTCAGGATTTTTCAAAGTTGAGATCAAGGTACTTTTATATGTGTTTCTACTGTTTGTAACAAGTCTAAGGGGACGTTACCCAAACGCTTACCTGGTAAGCACTTACCCGTAAGAGTCAATACTCTAATTTACTTTGCCGGATAAGATTGTAGTCCATCAAAACGGTTTCGTATGCAACAATTTACCCGGTAAGTGCTTAACGGGTAAGAGTCGTCACCCTCACTTACCGGATAAGACTCTTCATCTTTATCATCGCTCTTACCGGGTAGGATTCTTGTCCCTTGCCATGTTCGTCAGGTAAGGTAAATAACTCGCTAAGCACTTACTAGGTAAGCTTTTAGTAAACGGCCCCTAAGTGCTTCCGTTTTAAGATAAGTGGTCCATTCACTTATTTCTTGTCTATTGCATGATGACGTTCACTTATAAGTGGTCCATTCACTTATTTCTTGTCTATTGCATGATGACGTTCACTTTAGTGAGGCCAACTAAACTTTTTTTGAAGTTCACCTCAGTGGAAAGCCTAAAATGCTTTTGATTATAGCTTCTTATTCTCTTCCATAAAAAATTCATACCATCATATTTGTGTACCTATAAAAAGGAAGTGTCACTTAAAAAATTGTGTGTTGTTCACAGGTATGGATGTAGACCATACATTTTGCGGAATTTGGCAGAACTTGGAATTAAAGAGCCAACACCAATTCAAATGCAGGCTATTCCAATACTTCTATCTGTATGATATTTGTATATTTCACTATTAATTCTGTTTCTGTCTCAAGTTTAATGAAAGAACTATGGTTGAGTTAGGTTTGATACAAATTTTGAAACTTCAGTTTGACAACTTCTACAATTATTCTGAAGTTCCTTTATGTCAATTTTGTTAGGGGAGGGAATGCTTTGCTTGTGCACCAACTGGTTCCGGAAAAACATTAGCTTTTGTTTGTCCTATGCTTATGAAACTAAAGGTACATTTAAGGCATTTTGTATTGATTGTGAATGTTTGAAGACTGTATTTCCTTTTAAGTTTTTTCTTGTTGTACTATCAGCGCGCTTCAAAGGATGGTGTTCGTGCTGTTATTCTTTGCCCTACACGAGAGTTAGCCTCTCAGACATTCAGAGAATGTAAGAAATTGGCAAAAGGAAAGAAGTTTTACATTAAATTGATGACTAAGCAGCTTGCTAATAGTGCTGAGTTCTCGAAAGTTCCTTGTGATATACTCATATCAACACCACTCCGCTTAAAATTTGCTGTCACCAAAAGGAAGCTTGATCTAAGCAGGTTATTATCTTATCTTAGCTATGTTTGGTATTTGAACACTCTTATGCCGGTAATAAATTCAATTTGTTGGGTTGCCCTTTAAATAATGTAGGATGTACAAAGGCCACTCAATATTACAGTATTTGACTTGAACCCATAGTTGTTAAAAGCGCGCCTAGGTTCTGAGGCTCATAAGGCTCAAGGTCTTGGGCTTTTTTAAAGTTAGAGGCTCAGGGTATTCACGAGGCTCACTAAGGCGCTGCGCTTTGGCTGAGGCGCCTTGTGGGCTTAGGCGCGCCTCATGAAGAGTTATTAAATAACTATTCAAACCCTAATATTAATCAAGTTCTCTCGTCTTCTTATCTCCTAGACATTTTAGAAAAGAGTTATTAAATAGATGGCATAAGTCAAACCCTAATATTAAACACCCAATCCTTAGAACTTCAAGCCGCCTTCTCTATAATATCTAGACCTTAACACTTCTCCCTCACGGCCCATGCTTTAGATCTTTCTCTCTTATGCCTCTATCGAAGTACCGTTGGTTGTTGCATTGGAGGCTTTGCTGCATATTTGAGTTGTGTATAACTGTGTGGATATTGTGTATATGTAATATATACATGTATATGTCTGTATATATACATGTATACACACACACACACACTCATATATATATATATATGTATATATGTGCCTGGCATTCTTGAGACCCGCGCCTCATGCTTGTGCCCCCTCGCATTCTTGAGGCCTGCACCTCACGCTTGCACCTCGCTGCTAGGCCACGGGACCCATTTGCGTCTAAGTGCAATTTCAGCGTTTAACAACTTTGCTTGAACCTACTAGAAGCAGTATAGTTAGAGTGCTCACAATTTATTGGGTATATGATAGTCGTGCCTTTGTTTAGGTCCTTTAGGATCCTATGGAAAACTTTGGTGACATTTTAACTCTTATCTATCCTCTTGCTACTGTGAGTTTCATTGTTGTTAGTTAATAAATACAAAGCTGAGTGAAACTGCCACTAATCTTCATGGTGTGATCTCTGCACATAGCAGAACAGAAGTTACTTTCATTCTGCTTTAGCTTTAAACTTTCAGTTAGTGTGATTGTAAACTTGGGGTCTTCTTTTCATGGTACAGAGCACTAGAATCTGATTCGGTTTTTTAAATATTTAGTCATCAGAATTTGTGTTTGGTTTGTAACAATCTCATAATAATTATATGTTACCATATCTAGGGTCCTTTTTTTTTTAACCTGGATATCCAACCCGCTATACGAGCGGACTAATCCCAGGGCCACCACCCGCAAAGTCACTGCATTTGAACCTCCATGGCCACAAGGGGATTTTATTCCTCTTTGGATTCAAACCTGGGACCTCCAGGCACTTTTGACCTTTGGAGCCCAAGCTCAAACCAATCAGGCACTTAATGCCCAGGTGGTTTGGCCGATAGTGGGCCAAGAAATATCTATTGTCCTGCAATTGGTGCATTGATCTTTGCAGCGTTAATGCTTTTTGCTGGTTGGTTTCATTATCATAAAGCTGCTCAAAACTGGCTTGGTTTCAAGATGTAGAATCTATGTTGAATCACCATTTAGCGAGGCTACTAGAACTTGGGTTTCTCTCTTTGGCGGGGCATCAAGTACATGTATCTTTACCCATTAACCACTTTCTAAGCGCTGGAGTAGATCCTAAAGAAATACCACTTCCTCATGAATTTATCTTGAATCGGGATCTTTTGGCTCAACTTTATCCTAGTTTTGCCRAGGGAGCAACCCCATTTTTCACCTTGAATTGGTCAAAATATGCGGACTTTCTTTCTTTTCGTGGAGGATTAGACCCAATAACTGGAGGTCTATGGCTAACCGATAATGCACGCCATCATTTAGCTATTGCATTTCTTTTCTTGATAGCCGGTCACATGTATAGGACCAACTGGGGCACTGGTCAATGGTCTAAAAGATATTTTAGAAGCTCATAAAGGTCCATTTACAGGCCAGGGCCATAAAGGCCTATATGAGATCCTAACAACATCATGGCATGCTCAATTATCTCTTAACCTAGCTAGCATGCTCAATTATCTCTTAACCTAGCTATGTTAGGCTCTTTAACCATTGTTGTAGCTCACCATATKTATGCCATGCCCCCTTATCCATATCTAGCTACYGACTATGGTACACAACTGTCATTGTTCACACATCATATGTGGATTGGTGGATTTCTCATAGTTGGTGCTGCTGCGCATGCAGCCACTTTTATGGTAAGAGACTATGATCCAACTACTCGATACAACGATCTATTAGATCGTGTTCTTAGGCATCGCGATGCAATCATATCACATCTCAATTGGGTCTGTATATTTCTAGGCTTTCATAGTTTTGGTTTGTATATTCATAATGATACCATGAGCGCTTTAGGGCGTCCTCAATATATGTTTTTAGATACCGCTATCCAATTACAACCCGTATTTGCTCAATTGATACAAAACACCCACGCTTTAGCACCTGGTGCAACGGCTCCTGGTGCAACAGCAAGCACGTCCTCTAGGATCTAGACATTGAACTTTCAGTCAAAGTCCCTTAACCAAACAATGGTAATTGAAGACCCTTGGAAAAAATAAAACATGATTCTCTATGTGTACTCTTCCGTGCAGTTATTTCTTGACCTATTTTTGATCACCCTAACATTCACAGTCAGGCACATTCAAATTCTATTGTTGCAGTCAATTAGAAAGTAGAGTCAAGTGGAAGAACTGTATTAACTCGGTATATTTGATCATTTTATCTTACATTGCCGTGCGAGGGGAGCAAGAGTTGGTGCTTTTTCTACCTTGTTGATTACTTGATTTCATAACAAATAAATATCATCATATTAAAGAAGTATACCATCATTTTTTTCAATAATCTGCTTCTAGTTATGATTTGCATAGATAAGAAAATGTATAAACCTTTTGGAAAGTGGAATTTCTCTTAACATATTGTTTTTGGTTTTTGTAGGGTTGAATACCTTGTCTTGGATGAGTCTGATAAGCTTTTTGAGCTTGGTTTACTGAAATCGGTTGATGCAGTTGTCAAAGCATGCTCAAACCCTTCGATTACCCGTTCATTGTTTAGTGCTACTTTACCTGATACAGTCGAAGAACTTGCACGTACAATAATGCATGATGCTGTTCGTGTAATTATTGGCCGGAAGTAAGTGGTACATGGACTTCTTACAAGAACGTGGGCTTGCAATAATTTGCTCGATCCATTTTTGCTCATGTTTTGTGTGCCATTTGTCTCCGAATGGAGAAATAAGAAGTCTCGTTAATAATTTATTCTTTTTTTTTTTGGTTTGTATGGTTTTTTATCAAGCTGTTGCTTATTTGGACTTTCAATAGGAATTCTGCTTCGGAATCGATAAAGCAAAAATTGGTATTTGTTGGGAGCGAAGAAGGAAAGCTTCTGGCTCTTCGTCAAACCTTCGAAGAGGTATGTCTTATTACGCAAATACAAGATGATTATTCGTCATTTGGATTCTCACCTTGACGGCTGGACCAGTTATTATCTGTTGAATGGTATATAATGGCATGTCTTGAGATTTGGCATTGTGTGGATTTCCTCAATTCTGTCTGAACCATGATTTTTTGATTTATCTAGTAAAATATCATAATTGTTTTCTAAAAGAAGTCATCTTATGTTATTGTGAGTACAAAGATGTAACATAGCTGTAACCATAAGGGTGATGCTTGATTGGTTTGAGCTTGGCTCCAAAGGTCAAAAGTACCAGGAGGTCCCAGGTTCAAATCCAAGGAGGAATAAAAATCCCTTTGTGGCCACAGAGGTTCAAATGCAGTGACTCCGGGCTATCTGCAAAGCAGGTGGTCGCCCTGGGATTAGTCGGCTCGCAAAGCGGGTTGGATATCCAGGTTAATCAAAAAAAAGATTTAACATAGCTGCAGTGCTCTATTTATTCTGATGTTCAGAGAAAATGATGTTCTTGGTCTTTGGAATCTAGATAATTGTCTTAGATGGTGCATAATTCACGTGATTCCAAGAAATATATTATTTCTAAGTTAACATTGTTGTCATTTTTTCCCAGAGTATGTATCAAGTATGTTTTAATGTTTAAACTTTAAGGCAAGTTAGAATTATATTGTTTGGGGGCTACCTTATGCCTGAAGCATTGGCTGAATGGTCATCTTGGTTCCCGATGCTATGCATCTTTAAGGTCATGAGTGGTAACGACCAGAGTGGCTCAATTTAAATGACCATGGTCTTGTAGGTGGGTGTAATCCATACGAGTGAGGTCCCGGGTTCGGGCCTGGGCACCCCTCCTCTGCCAATGGGATGCATTTGCTGAACCGGGGAGGAGCAGTGAAAATATGTATCATATTGCCAGTGGGATGTATTTGGGCTTTATTATTTAAGATTTCTCGTTTTTTGGTCTCTTATATACATATTATCATTCTCTGAGCAGAGTTTGAACCCACCGGTGCTGGTCTTTGTCCAAAACAAGGAACGGGCAAAGGATCTCTACAAGGAATTGAGATTTGATGATATTAGAGTTGATGTAATACACTCTGATCTATCTCAAATAGAGGTAATCTACATTCCTTCATTGCTTAATAGCTTATTTTCGGGGTTGCTTGCCACACTAAATGTACGAGGTACGTTTTTTAGCAGTGGCTAGTGTATTTTTAACTTTATACCTTCAGGCTTCAGCCTCTTGTCATTGTATATAGGTTTGGCCTTAAAAAAGTTTCAGCCTTGAAAGACGCTGTAAAAGATGTAATTTTTGGAATCCGTTAGTATGTGCTGATATTTTGCCCACAAAATGAATTTCAGTTTTATCATTGATTTCACCCCTTCGGTTTCACACATGCAGTCTCCTTGTTCTGATTGAGGCTGGTTGTATCCCTCTGTTTCAATTTTGTTTTGCTAATTTATGTGAGTTTGATAAATTGAGAACGATACTGGAAGCCGTTTGAGCTTATGTGTAGAAAAGAAAGCTATACATACATATAGCTTACTATGAGCAAATAACAAAACTGGTCCCTCAACTAGACTTACATATAGCTAACAATTAAAATTATTCCTGATTTCGATTTGGTAAACTGAAGTTGTTATTGCTTATAGATTTGTATCTGTAATGATTTCATATTTAATTTAATTCAGCGAGAGAATGCCATTGATAACTTTAGAGCTGGTAAAACATGGGTTCTTATTGCCACCGATGTGATTGCCCGTGGAATGGACTTCAAAGGGGTCAACTGCGTGATTAACTATGATTTTCCGGATTCTGCTTCAGCATACATTCACAGGATAGGTATGTGGCATCAACCTTCATCTAAACGTTTTTTCGAACTCTATATAATTTTGCTGGAGGGATGCATGTTTTTTCTTATTTTTTTCTATGTTTCTATGTTTCATTGTGTATGTTCCCTTTTTTCGTTGCCTACTATTTACTGGTATTGCTTCTTCTTCCCTTTTCACTCCCTTTGGGGACAGAGGACAGGTCTCCCAGACCCTACTTTCGAATGGGATAAGAGCATCTCCAACAGATTCTCCAAAAAGGAGATTTTGGGGGTTTTTGCTCCAACAGATTCCCCAAAACCTTCTCCAAAATGGAGAAAGTAGGAGAGAGAGAGAGTGAAATTCTCCAAATTTGGAGCTCTCTCCAAAAATGATTACATGAAAGATATTATTTTTTATTCTTTCTACTAAAGAGAATCCTTGCAATTAAGTGTCTAGGAGAGAGAAGTAATATCTTATGGAAGATATTAAATATTTCAATAATATAATTCATTTTGTAATCTCCAAAGTCCAAACTGGAGAAGCTGTTGGAGATGAATATAATTTTTTTTTTGGAGATTTTAACTTTTGATTTCCCATTTTGGAGAATCTGTTAGAGATGCGCTAAGGGGCTGTTACCAACACAAATTGGGTAAGCTCTAACCTAGTAAGAATGCTGTTTAGCTAAGAGGTTTGGTCTGGGTAAGCACTTAAGGGGCTGTTTACCAAACACTTACTCGGGTAAGTGAACACCAAGTCACATTACCTTACTGGATGAATATGGTAAGGACCAAGAATCTTATCCGGTAAGAGCGAGACAAGGACCAAGAGTCTTACCCAGTAAGTGAGGACGACGACTCTTACCACGGTAAGTGCTTACCGTGTAAATTGTTGCATACGATGCCATTTTGGTGGACTAAAATCTTACCCTGTAAATAAATGATAGTGTTAAATTTTACCGGTAAGTGCTTACTGGGTAAGTGTTTGGTAAATGACCCCTAATTGAAGCACTGACCAGTCAGAAAGTAACTCCTTCCTTTTCTTGAAGTATATGATGACAAATAGACACACACACTCCTCAACTTTGGTGAGATTTCAGATACCACTGGGCCAATGACCCAATAGTAGAAACTATTTCCTTATTGATTCAGCATATTTGTGGATCAAAATGTACCCAGTAAGATGCAGTCAGTGCCTAAGTTCGTTTAATATGGTTTACTTTTACTTCTTACAGAATTTGATAACTGGCTTTCCGTTCGTTACTGTGTTTAGGTCGGTCTGGCAGAGCAGGTAGGAGTGGTGACGCGGTTACTTTCTACACAGAAGCAGATGTTCGATACCTGAAAAACATAGCGAATGTTATGAAATCTTCTGGTTGTGAAGTCCCTAGTTGGATCTTGAACTTGCCCAAGCTCAAGTGGAAGAAACACAGGCCAAAAAGAGAGTTTTTGTCAACAAAGCCACACGACGAAGAAGATGAATGATAAAACTATACAGCTTACTTTTCTGCACACGAACAAAGGTCTTAAAATCGATCGTGACACAATTTTGAATGCCCAATTTTGGTTACAATGAGATCACATGGTTGGATTGTATTTGTGCATTATGGTGCTCGAGTGTACGATTGTTGTAACCTAATGCGTAAACGATCCGTCTCTAGTGTTAAAAGCGAAGTCTAAAAATCTTGTAAAATCTTTTGGAAACCGCTAAAATGTTAGTTTGTAAAAACGACTTGTGCTCTGTTTGGTTGGTTTTCCAACAAGTTATAGAAATTGGAAGGTTTTTGTTTGGGATGTTTTTTCATAGATGGATGGAGCATTGGGGAAGGGTAGGTTTGGAAAAAAAAAAACTGGGTTTTCTGTATAAAGTTCCCTCATAAACGTAAAGGATAAGTCACCTTTTATAGCATTAAGCTACTATCAAATAGTTATGTACAGTTGATCGAATAAGCTATGAGTCTTGTTAAGCTTATTAAGCTGCTAATAAACGGATTCTTGGTATAGAAAGCCATTAAACTAAAGGATCATCTACCAAACGCTTACCGAGTAAGTGCTTTCCCTTACTCATTTGCTTTATTAGATAACATTCTTGGCTCTCGAAATGGATTGTCGGTAAGCAACTTTTACTCGGTAATGTTTATTGGGTAAGAGTCTTCTTTCTCGTTTACATGGAAATAGTCTTAGTCTATGTTATGTTTCTTACGTGGTAAGATTCTACGTCCTTCTCATGCTCACCCAGAAAGGTAGTGACACCCGGTAAGCATCTGGTAAATGACCCTTAAAATGAATTTTTCTCTTTAAAAAGAAAAGTAATTACCAGATTTATGAAGTGCAATAATATGTGAACAGAGAGAAGATACGTGACAATAATACAACACGATTTAAGCATTGTTTGATAAACATAAGCTAACTTATTTTTTGAGTAACTGCCTGGATGCATTTAAGCTAATTTATAAGTTAGCTTATAAACTAACTTATTGATAAGTTATTTGAAGTAGCTTATGAGAAGGTTTTTGACAATTTTTCCAATTATAACATTGATTAATATTATTTATTAATTATAGATAAATATTAATTTATAGTAATTATTAATTATCCATAAATATTAATTTATAGTAATTAAAATTAATTTTAATTATACAATAGATATTAATAATAGCTATTAATTCTAAAAATGTTTATATAAGTTACACACAAATTAAAATTATATACTTATTTTGTTTCATAGATAATAAAACTATGTTAAATAATTTTAATAAAATATTTAATTTAATTATTAATTATATTTTTAAATTTGTTGGAGATACTCTTTTCACATGTATAAATTATGAAACTACATTTTTATTCAAAGTTTTTGGGTTTTGTAGATTTTAGGTCTAAATTTGATTTTATTTTTTAGAAAAGCTATTTGTCTATAGAATTAAGTTTAACCTGAAATGGAAATTTGGACTTCTAAAAAAACAATATTTTTTAATTGAGTTAAATATTTTAATAATCTATACTATATTATAATACATTTGATGAAAACTCTTAAAAACCATTTTTTATGTATGAATTATTGTTAATTAATGCATATTACTTAAAATTAAAGATTACAAGTAAATTGTAYATAAGTACAACTTATTATAACTCCATTTTTTAATTCGTATTATTAACTGTAGATAAACATCTTATTTTAAATATAAAAAATCTAAAAATATAATTAAGATAATCATTGACTTTATTTTTAAACATAAATTAAATTATAAAAAATTATACTAAAAACAAGAATTTTTAAATGTTTAATTTGATACTAATATCGAAATATTTTTTTCAAAGTTTTATGACATCTTCAAATTTATATTTCAAAAATAGAAAAACATTATTGTTTTCTCAAAATTCATGTAAAACCATATTAAATCTACAAAAATAAAAAATAAAACAAAATATTAAAATCAAAATGTATCTCGATGCATTGTGTGAGTATCATTATAGTAAAATTAATATTGTAATCTTTAAAATAAAAAAACCATTTAATACCGAAAATGAAACTTATTTTTAAGACACCGATTTTTAATTCTATGTTTTTTAAGGGGAAAAAAAAGTAAATTCACATTTTAATTCTAGAATTGTTAACGAATAGTCCAGGGACTAAATATGAAATTTACTCCGACAACATAACAAGGAATATTGAAAATATTTATTGATCGGTCAATTTTTAATGATAGTACCAGGTGTCGGAAAAGGGGAAAATGTCTGACGTGGCGGTCAACAGAATGACCTATACCCACCGTTGGATGAAACCTAATCCGACGGTCATTAGAAAAACCCTATACGCGAGAGAATTTAAGATTGCTTTAACCAGTATTATATAAACCCCTATATACTCGCGATTAATTTTCGTGCTTAAATCTTCGTCTCTTCGCTGTTCTTCAAATCTCTTCGATCAAAAAGGCTTCTTCGCTAAGGTTAGATGTTTTCCTGTGTATATGATCAGCTGTTTTTGATCGTCAATTTGCATGTTTTTAGTGATCGATTGATTGTTTGTGTTGGAATTGTTCTTAAAATTGTTTGATTCTTCCTTGATATTGTTAATTGTTGTGATGGAACTAGTTTTTGCCAAAATTTATCATCGTTTTTCCTGGATATATCCTGATGAGTTTGTGCCGATCTTCATGGTTTTGATCTTATACTTTTTGTTGCCTTTAGCGGTTTTTGTGTTGATCAATCAAGCCTCGTGAGCTAAAAGTTTCAATTTCGCGTAGATTTTGTCTTGAAATGTTACTGTTATAGTACTTTTGGTATAGTTAAATGTGTTTACGAACTTTTTGTTCAAATAAAAGCGTTCTTATCAATTTTGAAGACAAATGTAGACTAATTTTTTGAAATCGGAGCTAGTTTTTTGTCATTGCAGTTGCAGAGGATTATGGTAGATAGCTTGATTCTTCTTTGATTTTGTTTTTTGTTGTGATGGAAGTAGCTTGTGCCAACATTTATCATCGTTTTTCTTCATGATTTTGATTTTACTTTTAACTTTTGGTTTTGGTGTTTTTAGCGGTTTTTATGCTGATCAATCAAGCCTCGTGATCTAAAAGTTCCAATTCCGCATAGCTTATATCTTGAAATTTTACCGTTGTAATACGTATTTACCATTGCTTTTTGTTCAAATCTTATCAATTTTGAGCAGAACTTTGTTTATTTCATACTGAAAGGTAGTAATTTTTTGGAGTTGCAGAGAATTACGATAAACAGCTTGAAAAATGTGTTTTAAACCTCGCAGCTCTTAAAAACCCCTAGTTTTTGTGAAACTATGTTCATTTTTGTTTGTTAGCTGAAATTGTTAGATTTATATTACCTGCAAAACGTGTTCCAACATGTTTGTGGATCTGTTATGTGACAACGAGTTCTATTCCTTTCAGTTTCAGCAAACAATCTCTATCGAACCATGGGTAAGGAAAAGGTTCACATCAACATTGTGGTCATTGGTCATGTCGACTCTGGAAAGTCAACAACCACAGGTCACTTGATCTACAAGCTTGGTGGTATTGATAAGCGTGTGATCGAGAGGTTTGAAAAGGAAGCTGCTGAGATGAACAAGCGTTCATTCAAGTACGCCTGGGTGTTGGACAAGCTGAAGGCCGAGCGTGAACGTGGTATCACCATTGACATTGCTCTCTGGAAATTCGAAACTAACAAATACTACTGCACTGTTATCGATGCTCCGGGACATCGTGATTTCATCAAGAATATGATCACCGGTACCTCCCAGGCTGACTGTGCTGTTCTCATTATCGACTCCACGACTGGTGGATTCGAAGCTGGTATTTCAAAAGACGGACAAACCCGTGAACATGCTTTGCTTGCTTTCACCCTTGGCGTCAAGCAAATGATCTGTTGTTGCAATAAGGTACTAAAGCTTTCATGATCATGCTGAATTTCTAATTTTTATTAGTATAATATTTATATACTGTAAAATTTTAAACAGAACAAATAAATTCACAAACTCTCCCTATTTTTTGAGACACAGGTTTTAACCTATAATTGGTTGGTAGATAATTTAAGAGAAAAAATACTTCTCCAAACACTTGGTACCTTACAGTCTTACACATTATCGGAGAAAAACCTTTTTGCGTTTCAAACAAGGTTTTTTAACGTGGGTCCCATTTTTCTTTGAAAAGGTTCACGCAAAAAGCTCCACCCTGGAATTTCTTTTATTAGTTGACATTTAAAATATAAAAAACATAGTGTCAGTGTCAGCATATCGTGATCTTGTATGTTGAAGTTTTAAATAGGAATCATAGCAAAGTAATTTTCCCCTTGTTTTAACATTCGTTTACTGTGTAGATGGATGCTACCACGCCCAAATACTCCAAAGCTCGGTATGATGAAATCGTGAAGGAAGTGTCGTCCTACCTCAAGAAAGTCGGTTACAACCCGGACAAAATCCCTTTTGTCCCGATCTCGGGTTTTGAGGGAGATAACATGATCGAGAGGTCAACAAACCTCGACTGGTACAAGGGTCCTACTCTTCTTGAAGCTCTTGACCAAATCAACGAGCCCAAGCGACCATCGGACAAACCACTCCGTCTCCCACTTCAGGATGTCTACAAGATCGGTGGCATTGGAACCGTGCCCGTTGGCCGTGTTGAAACAGGTGTGATCAAGCCCGCTATGGTCGTCACCTTTGGCCCAACCGGTCTAACCACTGAAGTCAAGTCCGTTGAGATGCACCACGAGGCACTTCTCGAGGCATTGCCGGGAGACAACGTTGGGTTCAACGTTAAGAATGTTGCGGTCAAGGATCTTAAGCGTGGGTTCGTTGCTTCCAACTCCAAAGATGATCCGGCCAAGGGTGCATCGAACTTCACTTCTCAGGTGATTATCATGAACCATCCTGGCCAAATTGGTAACGGCTATGCACCCGTGCTCGATTGCCACACCTCCCACATTGCTGTTAAGTTTGCGGAGCTTTTGACAAAGATTGACCGGAGGTCCGGTAAGGAGCTCGAGAAAGAGCCCAAGTTTCTTAAAAACGGTGATGCTGGAATGGTGAAGATGATTCCAACCAAGCCGATGGTGGTCGAGACGTTCTCCGAGTATCCTCCGTTGGGACGTTTTGCGGTTCGTGATATGCGCCAGACGGTTGCGGTTGGTGTGATAAAGAGCGTTGACAAGAAAGACCCGACCGGTGCTAAGGTCACGAAAGCTGCTCAAAAGAAGAAATGAATTATATCGGTATGCGCTATGAACCTAAAACAACGGACAAACTCTATTACTTTGACGTTTAGTTTTCGTCTGTTTTTCTGTGTCGGTTTTTGTTGCTTTTCTCGCTTTCGGCTAGCCGTGGCTTTCGGAATGGTGGTCTTATTACGTCTTCGGGTTTGTACCTGGGTGCTCGATAGGCGGTGGCAAGCTTCGTTGCTTTCGTGTTATGGGAATGTTTGATTTTCGATTGAAATATCATCGGTTAAATTAAGTCGTTATTACAACGTTTTGTGTTCTCGTGTTTCTTTCATCTTATCTCGCTTTTACCGTATTTGTTGCTTGTTTGCACACACTCCTACATGTTTTGGTTAAAATTGTTGAGGACGATCGTGTGCCTTTTGAACACAAATCGTATATTGATTACGGATTTCATATATACATTTTTTAAAACTTGATATTCGATGGCATTCTTGGGAAGAAGTTACCCCTGAAACTCGAGTTGCGTAAATTCAACTTCAACAGTTACTTTATTTTAACAATGTTGATACAGTTTGATATATTTTTTAAAAAATCATGACAAATTCAACTTCAGACGAAAAATCGTGTGAGAAGAAGAGTTAAAACGAAAGATCGTGTGAAAAGAAAAGTTAAAAGTGAAAAGTGTAAGAAGGGATCTGGATACTTGATCATCTTTAATCTGGAACCCACCGAATAATTGCGATTGATTCGAGAATTGATCTGATGCATCTCATTATAATGTACATCCAATAGTAAATTCTCTTCTTACGCTCAATTTAACTCTACTTTTCATCAAAAACTCAATTCTTCAACTTCATTGATGAAAACAATTGAAATAATATAGTCTCCACTAAGAAGCATTAATGTTAGATCATAACATTTTATTATATATATATATATATATATATATATATATAATATTTTAATAAATGTAATCAATTTTCTAATACATGTATCTATACTATATTATAATGCATTTGGCTAAAACTCTTAAAAACTCTTAAACTCTTAAAACTCTTAAACCCGTTCATCCCTATCTGATTTCATCC